CGGCGGGCTGGTGTGGGCCTGCTCATTGCCCCACAGCTCAGCCGCTGTGTGTTGGAGTTCACCCCGGTGAACGAGAGGGTCGCGTCCCTGCGCCTTCGGGGTCGGGGACAGGTCTCTCACGGCCTACGGGCCGAACAGCAGTGCTGAGTACACCGGCCTTCTTGGAGTCCTTGGGGAGGGTACTAGACAGTGCACCGACCGGGGACTCCGTTGTTCTCCTGGGGGACTTCAACGCCCACGTGGGCAACGACAGTGACACTTGGAGAGGGGTGATTGGGAGGAACGGCCTCCCCGATCTGAACCCGAGTGGTGTTTTGTTATTGGACTTCTGTGCTAGTCACAGTTTGTCCATAACAAACACCATGTTCGAGCACAAGGGTGTCCATAAGTGCACGTGGCACCAGGACACCCTAGGCCGGAGGTCGATGATCGACTTTGTCGTCGTGTCATCTGATCTCCGGCCGCGTGTCTTGGACACTCGGGTGAAGAGAGGGGCTGAGCTGTCAACTGATCACCACCTGGTCGTGAGTTGGGTTCGCTGGCGGAGGAGGAAGCCGGAAAGACCTGGCAGGCCCAAGCGTGTAGTGAGGGTCTGTTGGGAACGTCTGGCGGAGCCCTCTGTCAGAGGGACCTTTCAACTCGCACCTCCGGGAGGACTTCTCCCGGATTCCGGGGGAGGCTGGAGATATGGAGTCCGAGTGGGCTTCATTCTCGGCCTCTATTGTCAATGCAGCTGCTCGGAGCTGTGGGCGTAAGGTCTGTGGTGCCTGTCGCGGCGGCAACCCCAGAACCCGGTGGTGGACACCGGAAGTAAGGGATGCTGTCAAGCTGAAGAAGGAGTCCTATCGGGCCTTGCTGGCTCGGGGGACTCCTGAGGCAGCTGACAGGTACCGGCGGGCCAAGCGTGCTGCAGCCCGTGTGGTCGCGGAGGCAAAAACTCGGAGCTGGGAGGAGTTCGGGGAGGCCATGGAGAAGGACTATCGGACGGCCTCAAAGAGATTCTGGCAAACCGTCCGGCGCCTCAGGAGGAGAAGCAGTTCTTCACCAACACTGTTTACAGTGCGGGGGGAGAGCTGTTGACCTCGACTGGGGACGTTGTCCGGCGGTGGAAGGAATACTTTGAGGATCTCCTCAATCCCACCGTCACGTCCTCCGAGGAGGAGGCCGAGGCTGGGGACTCGGAGGCGGACTCATCCATCACCCTGGCCGAAGTCACTGAGGTGGTTGGAAAGCTCCTTGGTGGCAAGGCTCCGGGGTTGGATGAGATCCGTCCTGAGTACCTGAAGTCTCTGGATGTTGTGGGGCTGTCTTGGCTGACACGCCTCTTCAACATCGCGTGGCGGTCGGGGACAGTACCTCTGGACTGGCAAACCGGGGTGGTGGTCCCTCTGTATAAGAAGGGGGACCGGAGGGTGTGTTCCAACTATAGGGGGATCACACTTCTCAGCCTTCCCGGTAAGGTCTATGCCAGGGTACTGGAGAGGAGAATCCGGCCGATAGTCGAACCTCGGATTCAGGAGGAGCAGTGTGGTTTTCGTCCTGGCCGTGGAACACTGGACCAGCTCTACACTCTCCATAGGGTGCTCGAGGGTTCATGGGAGTTTGCCCAACCAGTCCACATGTGTTTTGTGGATCTGGAGAAGGCATTCGACCGTGTCCCTCGTGGTGTCCTGTGGGGGGTGCTCTGGGAGTATGGGGTCCGGGGCCCTTTGCTAAGGGCTGTCCGGTCCCTGTATGACCGGAGCAGGAGCTGTGTTCGCATTGCCGGCAGTAAGTCAGACCTGTTCCCGGTGCATGTTGGACTCCGCCAGGGCTGCCCTTTGTCACCGGTTCTGTTCATTGTATTTATGGACAGAATTTCTAGGCGCAGTCAGGGGCCGGAGGGGGTCCGGTTTGGGGACCACAGGATTTCATCTCTGCTGTTTGCGGACGATGTTGTCCTGTTGGCTTCATCGAACCAGGACCTGCAATGTGCACTGGGGCGGTTTGCAGCCGAGTGTGAAGCGGCTGGGATGAAGATCAGCTCTTCCAAGTCCGAGGCCATGGTTCTCGACCGGAAAAAGGTGGCTTGCCCTCTCCGGGTGGGTGGGGAGTCTTTGCCTCAAGTGGAGGAGTTCAAGTATCTCGGGGTCTTGTTCACGAGTGAGGGAAGGACGGAACGTGAGATTGACAGGCGGATCGGTGCAGCTTCGGCAGTGATGCGGTCGCTGTATCGGACCGTTGTGGTGAAGAGGGAGCTGAGTCGAAAGGCGAAGCTCTCGATTTACCGGTCAGTCTTCGTTCCTACTCTCACCTATGGTCATGAGCTCTGGGTAGTGACCGAAAGGACGAGATCGCGGATACAAGCGCTCGAAATGAGTTTCCTCCGCAGGGTGGCTGGGCGCTCCCTTAGAGATAGGGTGAGGAGCTCAGTCACACGGGAGGAGCTCGGAGTAGAGCCGCTGCTCCTCCACGTCGAGAGGAGCCAGTTGAGGTGGCTCGGGCATCTGTTCCGGATGCCTCCTGGGCGCCTCCCTCGGGAGGTGTTCCGGGCATGTCCCGCCGGGAGGAGGCCCCGGGGAAGACCCAGGACACGCTGGAGGGACTATGTCTCTCGGCTGGCCTGGGAACGCCTCGGGGTCCCCCTGGAGGAGCTGGAGGACGTGTCTGGGGTGAAGGAAGTCTGGGAGTCCCTGCTTAGGCTGCTCCCCCCGCGACCCGGCCCCGGATAAGCGGACGAAAATGGATGGATGGATGGATGGAGTGTGTAACTTTTCTGGTTGCCAAGGAGATGTTATTGTTTCGTGTGGAATATTTTACAGTATGGCATTAAACCTTTCTATCTTCATGGAGCCTAAACCAGACCAAGTTACAGGTCAGATCTGTGGAGAGGCGACCCCGTTCACAGTCAGAATGTTTGTTTTTCTAGGTATTTTTTGATCTATTAAACCACCTGTAATTGGATTTTGACCACAGGGCCCTGGTTTAATGATTTGGAGTTTATGAAAAATAGTTGTTCAACACTACAAAATGGATAACTAAGCTAATTAGAAAGGCAGTGTTTTTTATGCCAGCCTCGTTTTGCAGTAGTCCATTTTGTGATGTGTGCAGTTCTCAGCTCCAGTGTTAAATTAGACTTGGTTCCATATCCAGAAATAATAGTCCTTGGGGTGTTACTTATCTGGGAAAGTTTCATGCTTGTACCATAAAAGTGAACTATTTTGGTCCTTAACAGCTCCACTAAATGTCTGTCTTCGTCTACATCCATGTCAACTGCTTTGCTTACTGTCGCGCTGTAACACAAAAGGGACCCAGACATGTGTTTGGCTTCACAGCTCTTTGCTGATTGGCCAGTGTGCGGTCTACTACTTCTGGGGTTCTTGCAAACCTTCTAGTGTATTCCGATTCCTGACCTAGTCGCTGGAGAGAAATTAAATTGAGCAGAGGCACTAGGTGGCACCAGCCTGGCTACGGTTTATGTGTTTAACATGTGGGCCCGGTCAAGCAGAAGTAAACAGCAAGGCCAAAAATTCAAGTTAATGCATCTGATATAAAAATGTATTGAACAGATACATATGTACTCTAGTTTATGAAAATGTTGACCTTTTTTCTGTACCATTTTTGGTTCTGTAGTTACAGACGTTTTAAACAGACCATGTATGAAACATGGAACAAAAATTATTTCCCAAATTTTAAAGACCTGCAAATCATGTAAATAAATGGATGTATTTCATCATATCTTGTGTTATTCCATCTTTGAACTGTTGATGAACGTACATGATTAAAAAAAAAAAAAAAAAGTATTTAAAATTATAAAAATTTACTTGGAAGGACTGACATATTTTATAGAAATAGTTTCCTTTCATTTTGAAGTAATATTAAAGTATTCGGAAGAAAAAAGCGACAAATGATGCAAAATCATTCACCTTCTACTTGTTTGCACAATTTTCCCTCCGTTACTTTTCCCTCCGTTACCATGACCTTTCTTAATAAAAAATCTCATGAGTCAAAAAGTAAGAGTTTTTTCAACCTAATCTTGTACCATATGGTAGAAAACTATATGAAGCAAATATTCAAACCAGTTTGTTAAGGATATGTAAGTGAGAACCAAGAGTTATCACTGTTTGGATTTATTGCCCAAAAAGTGCTGCATATTTCATTCCCTCCGTTACTGACATGAGTTTTTTAAATTTTTTGTCAACAACTTGAAAGAATATCACAGGTTTAACTTGACCCTGTTGGAGTGTAACTCTTTCCTACATTCTGATACTTTACTTATTTCAATAGTCCCTCTAGTTTCTGAATAAGAGACATTTGAATGTAAAAAATCTGCCCCTGTTTCCCTCCGTTACCACTTGACTGGACCCATGTGTGAATGAAACAAAACATAACCCCAGGTGTTTGCGATGAGGAAATAATATTATAACAGATCAGAAAACAGTATAATATTGGCCCTTTAACAGTTCAGCACTTACACTTACATCACCACAATATCTCTCTCGCTAAATACAACCGTTTAATCCGACTGCTGTCCCTCTCCTTTTCTTTAAACACACAAAGAACCTGGGTCCATTTGTCTCATTTGCATACGCAGCTGTACCTCCTCTCTTCTCTCCCCCTCCTCTCTCCTCCACGTGCTTCCATCTTTAGTCCGGCCCCCTCCTCTCCCTCTCCCCGTCCTTCTGTCCCCCCCTGTTTTCCCTGCGCGTTGGTACAGTCCATTTAAAAAGGCGCTTGTCATCTCCTCAGTGCTGTGTCCTCTCCCAGTCAGCTGCTCGAGCACATTTCACTAGACCTGCTACCACCGGCTTTCCAACACATGCTGTCCACAAACTCACTCTCCCACTTCTTTCTCTTTGTCTTTTTGCCTCTTTTCCCTCACAACCACGGATACCTCTTTACGGATTTACCATTTTGCATTGATTAAGGAATATTATTATTTTTCTATGACTTGGAAATGCCTAACTTGTCCGGAGCATGACGTTTCGCATGGATACTTTTCTTCTCTTTGTGCGTTTTAGGCCAAAATCGTGAAAATGATGGATGACAATAAGCAGCTGGCACAGAGGATAGATGGGGCCATCCAGTCGGCGAGCCAGGAGGTGACCAACCTGCGCTCCGAGCTCAGTGCCACCAGCCGCAGACTGGCCGAGCTGGGAGCTAATGACTCCACATGCAGCGGGAGCGGGAGTGGGAGCAGCACCGGGAACAGCACAGAGGGCAGCCAGCACAACCACAACGGTAAGAGAAACTACGGAGAAAAGAGCAGATAGTGGGGCTTCGGAATACTTCTGCTGCGAAGTCAGAGTTTAAAGCGATGTGTAAGTGGTGTGTGGTTTTTAATCTAGGGTGACCAGATGTCCCTGTTTACCCAGGACAGTCCCAGTTTTGAGCTCTGTGTCCCCTGTCCCCGCAGATTTATCCAAAACCACTGATTTGTTCCAGTTTTATACAAAAATGTCCCTATTTTTGACCAATCTGATCCCTTCCAACAGTAAAGAGAAGCATAAATTGTCACTTGTTTAGGTAAAATATAGAAAAAGCTGCTTTAAAATGACCAAACACAAAGAAAATTTGACTATACTGACTCACATGTTGGCAGAACAATTCTCCTTTATCCTTTATTCTCAATTCAATTCAAAGTGTTTTATTTTGAAAACCTAGTCACCCTAATGTAGGCAGAACCAGGTCTAAACCAGGGCTAAACTAAAACTAAACCAGGACTATATCAGATCTAAACCAGGATTTAAACAGGACTATGAACATTTCTGACTGATCTGATCCCTGCCAGTGGTAAAAGAAGAGCATAAATTATTTGTTTTGCCAAAATACAGAAAAGCGCGTTTGCAAATGATCATAAAGCAAAAAAAAAAAAAAAAACACAAATTTGTCCCAGTTTTACACAAAAATGTCCCTATTTTTGACCAATCTGATCCCTTCCAACAGTAAGGAGAAGCATAAATGTCACTTGTTTTGGTAAAATATAGAATCGCTGCTTAAAAACGACCAAAACTCAAAGAAAATGTGACTATACTGACTCACATTAGTGCCTAGATTTTAGATACAATTTTTCCACTCCAAACCAGGGCTGTCCCAGTTTTTTTATTTAGAAAATCTGGTCACCCTAGATTTATCACAAATTATCACACGGGATGGAGATTTTTGGTGATATTCGATTTCTTTGGTCACTTCTAGGCTTCATGTTGTTAAAGTTGCACTATGTAACTTTTCCTGATGACAGCCATGGTAAAAGTTTAAAGCGAAGTGTGCACGTTTTGCTACCTGGAGTATGTTTTTTTTATCACAAGTTATCACATAGGAAAGCTATTCTATGGTTTCTTTCAGTAATTATCACATGGTATAACTAGGGATTTTTGGTGATATAAGTTGTTAAAGGTGCACTACGTAACTTTTCCTACCCGTAATAACCTAAAGAGTGTCTTCTGAATACTTGTACTACAAAGTCAGAGTTGAAACGTTTTTTTTTTAAATCACGTAGGGAACTAGTGATAACATTTTTTTTGGTGATATTACATTTTTTTGGTCAGTTCTCGGCTTCAAGTTGTTAAAGCTGCACCGTGTAACTTTTCCCGATGATAATATCCACGCTGTTGATTTCGAAATGGAAAAATCACCATCTCAAAGCTTCAGTCGTTCAGTTCAGGTGATTAAATGAAGTGCTGCACATTTCTAAGACACATATAGACTAGACTTTATGTCGCTCTATTTAACTTTTCCTGATGACGATAGCTGTTATTCACAACCTCAAATCTTCGTTCAGTTTATCTAACGGCAACCAGCACAACCACAACGGTAAGAAAAACTACAGAGAAAAGAGCAGATTGTGGGTCTTCTGAATACTTGTGCTGCAGAGTCAGAGAGTTTAAAGCGATACGTGTGCGTTTTGGTGTATGGTTTCTGTCAAATCGGAGTGTTTTTGATCAGCTTTAGGCTTCATGTTGTTGTGAAAGTGATAATAGCTGTGCTGCTGACTTCAAAATTCTTCACAGTCTCAAAAGCGATATGTGTGTGCAAACTTGTGTGTGTTTTTTATCACTAGTAATCACATGGGTTAACTAGTGATGGGAATTCCTGGTGATTTTGTCTTAAAAGTCTTAAAAAGTCTTAAATTATGTTCTCCAAGTCTTATTTTTTCACAAAGGTCTTAAATTTCATGAGCCTATTATTTTGTATACTCAACCAGACTGCAGTGCGATGTGAAGTGGAGGGAGGAAATAAAAAGATATAGTAGACAGATATAGATATAGTAGTTGGTTGGTCATTATTACAATCGGATCTGGTGTTTTTCGCCTGCATAATGGTGCGATGTTGGTCTTAATTTTCATTTAAGTGGTCTTAAAAAGGTCTTAAATTTGGGGTAGTCAAACCTGGTAGAACTGAAAGCAGTTTTTGAATGAAGTACAGATGCCAGGTTACAGTATTTTTCACTAAAACATAGTTAACATCACTAGATTTAAGATTTCATTCCAATCTTGCTTGGGTTTGTCTAGATTTAGTCATTGTTGGACATAGGGATGGGCATGATTAGTCGATTAATCGATAATTGATCATTAAGAATTTCATCGATTACGTAAATTTTAATCGACAAACCGAATGTAGGTTGCTGTGTGTGTCGTGACCAAACAGGGTCTGTACATGTGTCTCTCTGCATTCAGAAGGAGTGAGACACAAACATTCGGTCAGTCTGCAACGTACCGAAGTGTATATGCGTATTTAACGATGATTTGTACAAGAAATTGCACACTTTCCGTTTCGGTCAAGACAAGTGTGAGTCCATGTGCACAGTGTACAAAGCAGGCACATATGTTTCGGTGTCCAGTGGGAAAAAGTTTTACCAGGTGAGAGTCGCGCAATGTCGATGACGAGTCCCCACCTCCCTCCCCCCGTACGGTGTCCTGGTTTTGACAAACGCAAATCTGGTCACACTAACCTGTATTCCACTGAGTCATGTCTTTTAATCCGACAGAAATTGACCGCATCAGCGACACAAGAGCTGTATTTTTTATCTTTGCTTAGTTTATGCAAATTAGCGATGCGGTTTTAAGTTTTGTTTCTGTGAGAGTTGAGCAAAAATGAATTAAACACATTATAATGTCAAACGGGCTGATGTGGCTCTAGAGTCGTTACGGTTTATATGTCGTAAAGTTGAATTTATTTATGCAGATTAGTAGTTAGTAGTAGTAGGTTTTCATTCCGCACTCTTCTCTCCAATTTATGTCTCTCTTTTTTAATTTTAATCTTCATGATTATTTATGTTTTGATTTGTTTTTATTATGATTTTAATGTATTTCTTATTCTGTAAAGCACTTTGAATTACTTTGTGTACGAATTGTGCTGTACAAATAAACTTGCCTTGCCTAGTGCAGATAGTAATAATAATGATGATCATTTTAATATAAAAACGTTAATGATTAATCGATAATCGATCGTTAATTCTCTCGACGATCCATTAAGAAAATTTCATCGAATGCCCATCCCTAGTTGGACATCACCTGCCTGTCTCTATGAAGATATGTTTAAAGCCATACTGCAGGACATTTTAAGCAAAGCAATAACATCTCGATGGAGACAAGCAGGTGGCAAACCCCCTCCTAGATATGAGTGAGTCCTCATGTTTAAGTCCTGCTTTAAAAGTCCCAGAGTGCAAATAGAGCTGAAGACAAGGTCGCCGCGGGGTCTTAAAACTCTTAAAAAGTCTTAAATTATGTTTGTCCAAGTCTTATTTTTTTCACAAAGGTCTTAAATTTCATTATCTTATTTTTTTGTTTACTCAACCGGGGCTGCAAAATAAAACCAAAAATAAGAAAATGAAGAAACAACAATTTTCTTCATTATTTGTCTCCAAAAACAAAATGAAAAAACAGCAATGATTTGTTTTTTCGATTTTGTGTTTAAATGAATAATGGAAAAAAATGCATAACAGCCGTTTCCTGTTTCCATGACGTAAACTGCAATGCCGGACTGAACCAGGACTGAACCAGGACTAAACCAGGTCCAGGACCAGACCGGAACCAGACCGGGACTGAGACCAGGACTTAGACTGGGACCAGACCAGGACTGAGACCGGGAACTGAGACCGGAACTGAGACCAGGACTGAGACCGTGACTGCGACGGAGCTGAGACGGGGCTGAGCCCGGGGCCAGACCAGAACCAGACCAGGAGTGAGAGCGAGACTGAGACGGGACTGAGACCGGGAACAGGACCAGGACTCAGACCTGGATTGAGACGGGACTGAGACCGGGAACAGGACTGAGATGGGGACTGAGATTGGGACCAGACCAGGACCAGACCAGGACTGAGACCGGGACTGAGACCGGACTGAGACGGGATGGGACCTGGAGACCAGACCAGACCAGACTGAGACTGGGACTGAGATTGGGACCAGACCAGGACCAGACCAGGACTGAGACCGGGACTGAGACCGTGACTGAGACGGGGATGAGACCTGGCCCAGACCAGAACCAGACCAGGACTGAGAGCGGAACTGAGACGGGACTGAGACCGGGAACAGGACCAGGACTCAGACTGGGAACAGGACCAGGACTGAGACCAGGACTGAAAACGGTTTAGTCCTGGTTTAGTGTCGTTTTAGTCCTGATTGCGACGCAAAAGTTCCACACTTTAAATCACAAGAAATCGAAAACTGAAAAAAGCAATTGGTTATCTGTTTTTTAATTTTGGTTTTGGAGACAAATAATGAAGAAAATTGTTGTTTTTTAGTTACCATATTTTTGGTTTTATATTGAAAAACAAATGAACGAATGATACACGATTTGACAGGCCTATCCACAAGTGATCCTCCTTTTTGCTGATCTAAGCTGTTTCTTCCGTTCACACTTTCCACTCATTTCACCCACAAGTTCACAACTACTCGCTGATTAGACACGTCTTATCTCTGAGCTCGGATGAAGCCCGCAGTGAAGCCGTCCAATAGTCTGTTTTCCGTCAGTTTTGACAGGTCCCACTCTCTCTGCTCCTTTGGCGTGTCCATTCACAAATCCCTGTCATGCTGAATAATTAACCCCCTGAACCCTCACATGCACTTTACCGAGGGCACCGGGGCTAATGTTACGGCCTCTTTCCACTTTCGCTGCCAGAGTAGGGAGGGGGGACGAGCGGGGGGGCAGTGTGGGGTCA